TAATTGTATTACTCTTATTAATATTCATGAATTAATTAAATGTGAAACTTGGCCATGTCAGGCGACAATGTACACCACTACAAGCTGAAATTCGCCATTCCGCAGGTTTCCATCATATTAACCTCTCCACCATAATTAACATTCCGCCATGTTAATTCGTGGAACTTTGATACCAACTTAGGTATTCTCAGCAAATATTTGAATTCAAAGCCCACACTCTTCTACTTTGTGCAGAGTTTGTCCAAGCTGGTGGAAAGGCATCAGACTGAATGCGACGACTGGGAGGAGAAATGAGGAGGAAGAGATTAAAAAAGATCAACAGTCAAATTATACCAGAACAATGACACAAAGAACTACCAGGGGCAGCAAGTATCACTTAGACCAGATGAGCACCGAGATGAGACAATGTTTTTTTTTAAATATGACTCTTTTATTTGTTCTTTGTCTTTCTAGGGAACCACATTTTCTCCTACGCGGAAATATTTGGTTACTACAAAAAACTGACAACCTAGCACATTCATGGAGATAAACTTGCTTAGCATATCTTTACAAAACATAGACAGTTTCCAGATATTCTTCAGAGGTTAAAACGTGTCATTGAGTTGGGCAATAAAAGATTCTATCAACCAGCTGCCAGTTAACTCCTAGGGCAGGTATAGGCAACCTTCGACACTCCAGATGTTGTGGACTACATCCCCCATAATGTTCTTACACCCAAAGCCCTGGCAAAGCATCATGGGAGGTGTAGTCCAAAACATGTGGAGTGCCGAAGGTTGCCTATGCCTGTCCTAAGGTGTGCACTAAACACTTTAAGCCAATTTGGCCTTTATTTAATATTGTTGGATGAGTTTTCCAAATGATTTCATACTTTTGAAAAATCTTTTTAAATTATTTTATAATATGTAATATATTTAATTATTTTGTAACATTTTTATATTGATAGATTTATTGACATTTTTTTAATGATTTTTTTTTTATATATATTTTAATATGTTAAAAAAAAATAATTAGAAAAATTTACCCAAAAATTTTAAATAATTTGGAAAGCGTATTCAACAATATTAAACCAAGGCCACCAAGTCCTCATGTACAGTGCTGCGGAATCTGTTGGCGCTTTATAAATACCGGTAATATATAAATAAATAGAGTAAAAGCGCAATATAAATATTAGTAAGGCTACAATTACTAAAATATCCTGAATTAAAAATGATGTGTTTATGTGATAAAT